TTTGGAATTTGTGGATGTAAGGAAAGGATCTCCAAAACACCAAAAGTTTGGTGTCTCTAAGTCCCCACACCAAGGGTTAAGTGTGAAGATGAAATGGATGACTTAGGGAAGAAGAGATTGCTAGATTAATCTCCCTAAGTGGCCGGCCTCTTTGTAGAGAGAAAGAGAGAAAATGTTTCACCTCTTTGCCTCAAAGAAAACCCTAATTAGAAAATAGCTATAAAGTTGCTTTTATAGCACTTTTCTTTGGTGAGTGGCAAACTTGCAATTAAGCAAACTTTCACCATCTCCTCACCATGGCCGGCTTATATGTTGTGATTGGGCTTATTGCCCATTTTGTTTTAGTTGTCATACAACTTAAACATAATGGGCCTTATGGACCAAAACACTTTTGGGCCCCGAAACTCAAAACCAACTTAAAAGCCCAATACGAACCTTTCGTATAATTAATTAACTAATTAATTAATCTTGACCATTCTTCAATTAAACCATTTAATTTCATATCCATTTCATTTAATTTCTTCACTATCGCCCTTACTCGGTGTACGATCCATTAGGTTCCAATTAGCGAGGTAGTGGGCGATTGTTACTCTTAACGATCGATTGTGAATTGAAACCACATTTCAATTCTCCCTTTATGATTAGTGTTTGCTAGTCATTAGGGCTTCCACAAACCATGAGTGACACCTAGCAGTATGTCATGGTTACCCAAGCTAAGTAGAATTGGTTGGAGAACCTATCCAGTTACAACTACAATGCAATACGGTCCTTCTCTAATACAATACTCTTAATCACATTGTTTGAGTGATAGTTTGTTTCATGTCTACTATCCAATGTGATACATATCTATATGATTCCCTTGAATATGATTTGGAACAAACTTCCTAAGTCATATTCATATGCTTTGGCCAAAGACTTTAGAATCATATCTTAGAGTATACTCCTTCCATGGAAGGTTAGAGATCCCTTGTTGTGCATTCATATGCCTACATGACTAGACAGCTTGACCCCAACAATGCCGTGGACACTCCGATGGAATGTCGTTGACATGATCAAAGATCAAGGACCTAACCATTAGACATCTATGATGCCTCAGGTCAAAGGACTACTTTGCATATTGCAACTTTCGAGTTCTTACATGACATGTATGTTCGAACTCTCTTTCGATCGTTGTTCAGTGTACTCGATTACTCTTTCGAGCACCTATGTGTTTGTCTTAGTGTCCAACACCAAATGACTTGAGACTAGTCATACTCACGCTTGAGTCAACATAACACATACTAACCTTAGCGGATTGTCAATACCCAATTGGCAATCCTATGGCTAGGAACGTTTTAGGAATGAACATAAGAGAATGGTCTCGATAATCTAACTCACTTAGATCACTTGTCTCTTAGATCAAATACATCCCTTGGATTCCCTTATTACTTAAACACATGATACAATAAATAGTGATTAACAATAAGCTTTGCCCTTCATTAAACATATAAAAGTTTAATACATTAAGTATTCCAAAAAGCTATTACATCAAATGAGTGGCTTTGTGGGCATACTTCCAACATACAAGTGGTTGGAGATTTGAATTTTTTTCTTCAACCACTTGTACGATGACATGGTGTACTAGACCGTATTTTCAGCACATTAAAAAAATCTCTTTAACATCTGTATTTGATATTTTCTTCGTTTTTGATGATGGGAATGTGGCGGGAATCCCCCTAAAAATACCCTTAGGGATGCTAAAAATAGTAGTGGATATTTTCTGGATCTCTCTCTCTCTCTGTGCTCACTCTCACGCATGCTTCTTGCTTCGTTAATCGATTGCGTTGATGGAAGCCGAACGAGTCCCGCCCCCCCACCTAGGGGTGGGTTCGGTTCAAATCGGTTCGGTTTTTTGCCAAAACCGAAACCGAACCTAAATTTCGGTTCAGTTCAATTTTTTTTCGGTTTTTTTCAGTTCGGTTTTTTTTCGGTTTGGTTTTTTTCGGTTCGGTTTCGGTTTTTTTTTTCAAAAAATGAGAAAATTTGAAATCTTAAATTTTAACATAGCCAACACAATCATAACATAAATATTCCGACTAGACTTAAAGATAATGAAAATAAACATTTAAAGTTCAACTAGAATTATAACATAAAGGTTTTTTTTAAAATATTTTGGGTTTAAAGTTTAACTGTAAATAGATTTCTTTTTAGACGATGATGATGGATTACAACCTTATTCATTCCTCTCTTTCTCTCAATCTCTCTCTCTCTCTCTCTCTCTCTCTCTCTCTCTCTCTCTATATATATATATATATATATATATACATGTATTCTTCACTAGCAATAAGATAAACATTCTATAATATACTATTTATTTTGATTATTGTCTAGGTAACAATTTTTGATATTTTCTTTATCTTTATGGTCCGAATTTTTTTTCTCCATATATGTGGTTACATAATATAATTTCTACATTTTGTGTTCAGCTTCTACCACAAGCAAATTTTGAAGAGGTGTTCATCAATATTTTTGAATATATTGATATACTTTTCAAAATTGTTAGGCCAGGGAAGCTACTATACTTGGCCATAGGTGAGAAAGTTTGAATTTTGTTTTTGATCTCGTAGTGTTTAATAAACTCATGAGACTTTTTATACGCTATTTGCTTTCCCTAATCAAATGCAGTGCAGTTGAGATATGTGTTCTTATATATGTGTTGCACTTAATGATATAAACTATAAATATTGCATGTAATGGTATAAGTTCTAATTTTTGTTGTAGATGGAGAAGCTGAGAAGACAATTTGAATTGGAAAGCAAACAAGTCCTACCAAAGCAGCAGTCCGAAGTATCATATTCTAATATAATAAAATCAAATAATTAAATAAATAAAATTTAAAAAATATTAATTTAATTATTTCGGTTCGGTTCGGTTTCTAGACCACCAAAACCGAACCAAACCAAAAGAGTTCGGTTAGGTTCGGTTTTTTCAATTCGGTTCGGTTTTTTTCGTTCGGTTCGGTTTTTTCGGTTTCGGTTCGGTTTTCGGTTTCGGTTTTTTGAACCCACCCCTACGCCTGCCGCGCGCCCCCCCCCCCCCGGCGGGGCACCAACGACGCATATACCTCAAGTATAGGGATGAAGGCGTTCCAATGAGTATGAGTTCGAAAAGGAGTCATTCCATGAAAATCCTGCGAGATGGGCATGGGTAAGCCCATTAAGCTATCATGTGGGTATGAATCAATTTGTAGCCCATCAGCTCTTTCTGTTTAATGTGCATGAGACAGAGGCCTTTCCCGGAGGGTTTGGCTTTGTTGGTTTTCCTAATGGACTTCCGGCGGAGTGCTTCCGGGAAGGTACATCGATCCGAATCTTAGGAAAAAGGTTCTAAAGTATTGTTTAGATAACTTGCTATCATGTACTACTAGGAAATCTGATTCTGATGGTGGTGGAATAGCATATATAAGAAAGGTTTTTTTTAAAGAAAATGATCCTTGAGATTAGCATAACTTTTGATTTTGGTTCATGAGATTTTAAATTGATAGAGCTGGTCCTGAATTTGTCTACCATCAATTAGTGGTCATTCTATGAAAAAAAATCTCCGATAAACAAAGATAAAATGATAAAAATACTCAAGAGACCACTTTTATTAGTTTCAAATCTCAGGGGATCATTTTGGCTAGGCCTAATTGGATAAATTATCCTCATGATGACAGAGTATTCAGAAGATAACCTATGTGGTAAAAAAATTCGGATTTAAACCTTTATGGTGAAGTCCGTTAAAAATTAAGCCCAGATTCAAAATTTTCATTATTTTCTGTGTTAAGCTGTGAAAGCTGAGCTGAAGCCTCCACTCGTGATGTTCTAGTTCAAACGAAGCTGACAGTAACGGCTTAGTTGTTCCTGCAGCCGATAAAAATGGTGATAAGCTGTCTAACAATGAGCCAAAAGTACCACCAGGAATTTCTTTCTCTGGCAATCACCATGAAAACAATAGCGCTGAGCTACAACTACCTCTACCTCATGTAAAAGGAGCCATGGATAAACGGAAGGAAAGTTCATTTCGTCCACTTATACAATGACACGCCGCTTGTGTACCTGGCACTAGGGAAAAATCTCTCAGAATTAAGGCCAGATATTTTGGCAGGGCATTTGCTCGACTTTAATCATGTTTGAACTTGGTTGCGGTTGGAAGATAACGTTTTCAACAATTAGCAATGTTTGCTCAACTAAAGCTTCAGGTGTGGCATTCTAGTGATTATTTTACAAACTGAATTTCTCCAACATATTCTGATGAGAACAAAGGCGTAGGCATCCGAAATCTTAAACTGAAGCCCTGAAGGCTGCACAGCATGATCATCTTCTGCTACGATGATAACCGGAAATTTGAGGATTTAAGCTAAGACCTCTCACTTACAGGTAAACAAAGAAGTATAGGTAGACGGGTAGTTGAATAGATTCTAATTGTATATATGCAGTGCACCAATAGGAGAATGGGTCCGTCACTTTGACCTACAACAATGTGGACAAAATCCATCTAATGGTACAAGAATTTGATCTTCCCTTCCCTTTTGTCCATTGATGCCATCCTTCTGTCATCCACTCAGACTAACTGTCAGTCTTCCTCTCAAGAAAATATCCAACACCATTATGCACTGTAATTTGTTAAGCACCCACTTACCTACCCACCTCCTAGCTCTCTCTTGCATATTTTCATTTGGAAAGTGATTTTCTTGTTTCTATCCCTTGATGATTCTCGCTTCGTTTATTCAATTTGAAGGCTAAATCATTTTCCCCAATAACTAGTCTCCATTATTTACCATTTTTGCATCCTTAAGCTTGTTCTTTGTAGAAATCCATCAATCTAATCTCTCTTTTGTGGGTTTATTTTCTCTCAAAAACTAAGCAAAATTGCATTAGGAAAAAGCATAATTTTATCCCTCACACAAGAACATGTATCATTGGAACATCTATCAATCCCACATCCATATATATATATATATGAATGTGGGATTAATAGGGTTTAGGGAAAACAAAAGTCAGATGTCCAGTAAAATTCATGCTAATCATACATGATCTAGTACAACATTTCAAAACAAGGGTTCTCAAATATACATTCATACCCAAAACACCCCCATCACAATACACCTTTAACATTTAACAGATTTGAATGAAATCAGCAGTTCCATTCTCTCCAAACTAGGGTTCCACATCCTGTAATTATATCAAGTTTCCATGTCAATTACCTCTTGCACATCTTGTGATGACCTCACACCCTCTGTTGTAAGGATTCGCCGCCGCAGCGTGACAATTGTAGTAGGAAGCCCCTGGTTTTCCACAGGGAACCAAGTCCCTGTTGAGAGTCCCATAGCTTATGTACTTCTTCTGCATTGCCAGAATTCTCCTGCTGCTCTCTGACTCCATCTCTGGCTCTGTCAAGCACTCCCCAATCTTCTTGCTGCAGACGCTTCTTCCCCCCATGGCAGCCTCGATTTCGCTTCCTTTGAGTGGATGATTCAGGTCAAGAACTGAAACCCCATTGCAGATTGAGAAGTGGATGTGGATTAAAAGGAGGGATAGGTAGAGAATTAGAGTGGGATTGGCTCTTCTGCTTCTGGGTTTGGACATTTTTTCTTTGTTTGTGGCTTTTGTTTCGTGGGTTCTTTGCTTTTGTGAAGGGTCGGTGGACTCTGGAAAGAAGGAAGTGAGATTCTTAGTGGTTGGAGGGGTCATTGAATGGGCTGTGATACATGATCATAGCTTTTGGCATAAGCTTCCAAAGTGATATGCATGTATGGCTATATAGCCTATACATACACTATAGCAAAGACATGTCATGTGAAACATGTCATGTCATGAAGGAATTAATGGCAACTCAACACCTCGTGAACCTTGTAATATTCCACATCGTCCAGGGGAGTGATTCTGAAATGTATATTTTCATCCCTACCTAACACGAGACATTTTGGGAGCTCGCTGGCTTCGGGTTCCATAAGAACTCCGAAGTTAAGCGAGAAGGAGGCCAGAACACTCCCAAGATGGGTGATCCCCTGGGAAGTTGCTCGTGAGTTCCCAAAAACAAAACCGTGAGGAAATGGTAAGCCCAAAGCGGACAATATCATGCTACGGTGGTGGAACGGGCTCGGGAAGTGATCCCCCTCGGGCCGGAATGTGACAAAATGGTATCAGAGCCAATCCCTGGCTAGAAGTGTGCCGACGAGGACGTTAGGCTCCTAAAAGGGGTGGATTGTAACATCCTACATCGCCCAGGGAAGTGATCCTTAAATGTATATTCTCATCCTTACTTAAGACGATGCCTTTTGGGAGCTCACTAGCTTCGGGTTTCGTAGAAACTTCGAAGTTAAGCGAGAAGGAGGCCAGAGCATTCTCAAGATGGGTGACCCATTGGGAAGTTGCTCGTGAGTTCCCAAAAATAAAACCGTGAGGGAATGGTAACCCAAAGCGGACAATATCATGCTACGGTGGTGGAGCGGGCCCAGAAAGTGGTGTGCCTTGGGCCGGGATGTGACAAACCTTCTCTGATAAGAGTTGCTCAACAATTATCATTTAGTACTATGATCTAGTATTATTCTTCTTTATTTGTAAGTAAGAGGTTTTAGGTTCGATTCTCGCTAAAAGACGAATTTGAACCGTATTATTGTTGCTAGCCTAGTTTGAGGCTTAGCACATTTGCTTACCCTTAATCTAGATATTATCGATTGTTAAAAATAAAAAATTAAAAAAATTAAAAATTAAAAATTAAAAAAAACTGCTAAACAATTAGAAGTAGTTATTGTTAAAATGTCAATGTCGCTCCTCCTTAGTTTGACACGTCTGGTTTTTTTTCTCTTTTTTTTGTTTAAAAAAAATGATTCAATATTAAAAATAACCATGTAAAAGATTAGAATGTGTTGTGAAATCGAGGATACGTATGTAGTAAAATAAAAAGTAAATAAGGCACAAAAATTATGAGGTTCGACAAGTGTGCCTACGTCCTCGGCTTACCAGTAGTACTTTATTTCATTATCTGAAATAATAAGAGTACAAAATAACTCCCGCTGTTTTCTAAGGCTAGTTCGGTAATAGGATCCCGGATCGACAATGGGATCCCGAATCCTAAACTGACCTTTTTCGGGACATGAATTCGAATACTGATCCCAAACCGAAATTTCAATATTCCCGAAATGTTTTCAATATTTTGAACAAATCAAGATTAAATTTTGGTCTTTTTGGCTGAAATTTGAGATTTTGGGCTTTTGGCCTAAAATTTCTGTCACCCAGTTTCTTACTAATTGAAAATGTAAAAAATTAAAGAAAATTATAACAAATGGCCACGGATCAGACACTACCAAAGTATTAAATATCGATGATATCGGAAATATCGGTAGTCCAAAAACACGGAAATATCGATGGAAATATCGGGATATTATCGATATCGATAAAAAATAATATGGAAACCACGGAAATTGTAAGAAAAACTTGGAAATTTTTATTGAAACTTTGCAGGATGTTTATTTAGTCAATTATCTATTAGTTTATCACAAAAAATTGGAAGGAAATGCATTGCATGATGGATTTAACTGATTTAAGTTGATTATATAGCGAGTTGGCAAACATTGTGAGTGTGGAAAATATGTAGTAATTAATGAAAGATGTTTAACTTTAAACACACCATAATCATTTATACATAATTTTTAATCAATCTCATTGTACAATTTTCTATTAAAAATTATTTTTATTTTTTCTTTTCACATAGTGCAGCACACCATTCTAAAATCTTTATTTTTTTATTATTATTTCTTCTTCTTCTTCTTTTGTTTTTTTTGGCAAACATTTTTTCTTCTTGTTTTCAGATGGTGCCAACACACCACTTCTTTTTCTTCTTCTTTTCAGATCGTGCCAACGCACCAATCCAAAACCCTTCTTTTTCTTCTTCTTTTCAGACACTTCCACCCGTGTCCTCACCCCCCCCCCAACGCACCCCCTCGCCTCTCTTCCAAAAGCCCTTTTAGAACGCCTCAGAATAGCAACCAAAACCAAATATCCTCCCTAGAGAGACCAGAAATCTCCGACACCTCGCACACCCCTCCCACAACCGATCGCCATGTCAGGACTCAGGAGGACCCATCACGCAGGACTGGGAGCCCGTCGTCATCAGGAAGAAGGCACCCAATGCCGCTCGCCGCTCCGGAGCTGAGATCAAAACCCTCAAGAAAGGTTTTGTGTGTTTCCCCCTTCCCCAATCCCTCGAACCTTCTCCCTCATTCCTCTCCTTGGCAGTGCGACAACGAAGCCTCGGTTGCAGTTGCGACGACGACGCCTCCGGCGATATTATCAATAATATCGCGATATATTTCCAATAATTAAGTGAATACGTTTGAAAATATCGCCTACTAAAAAAAACGATATTATCGGCGATATTTCACCGATAATATCGATATTTTGGTCATTGGACACTACATAGTTGAGAAATATAAAGGATGGCAATCCTAGAACAATAATATATGAACAAATGTAGAGACTGGGTAATTGGACTTAATCTGGGAAAGTCCAGAAAAATAAAGGATGGCAAGCCAATAACAATAATATATGAACAAATGTAGAGACTAGGTAATTGGACTTAATCAGGGAAAGTCCAAGATTAAGGCAAAAATCACAAATCAAACTCCATAAATAAGCCCCACACACAAACTCACAACAACAACAACACAAAACACACACAAAACAAACCCCACACATTGCATATATAATAATACATAGATTCAAACTCACACCAACGTTCCATTTTCATAAATATGAAGACTGGGTGTAGCCAGAACTAACCTTACCTAACAACCCATACTTTATGCACTACGGTTCACAAACACATACAAAGACATGCATATGTAGGTTGGCAGTACAAGTGTTGACCCTAAAAACTACAGAGCCTACGTGGCGCGCAGGCCGAGTAATTAATGAGCTAACTACGTCCTTCGGTGAATGCGGGGCGTGCCAACTCGTCGGCCGAGCTCGGTCGAGGAGTAAATTTGTTGATGTTGCGTTGGGTCGCGCTACTGACTTCTGCGTCTTGCGATTGCGGCCGAGAAAGGAACACGTCTCGGCCTCTTGGGCTCTCGAACCTGAAGACAAGGTTACTATTCTTACGAAGTTCAATATCAAATTCGGCTTTCAATGTGCCGAATGTAATAACTGTAACACCTCACTCCGCCGAGAAGGCTGATGAGATGACCTCGACCAATAAGGATTTAGAAACCCTTCTCGACCGAGACTTGGATAGGTAATCAACCGTTCTCGCCGCAGTGCTGTTGATGCCAACGGAAGATACTGCGAGACCGATTAACTCTACGGTGATAGAGCTATCTATGCCGACTTAAGATATCACCGGTTGCTTCCACAGTGCTGTTGATGCCAACGGAAGATGTGTCAGCGAAAAAAAGAAAAAGAAAAATCACAAAGTTGTGAGAATTTGCGCAGGGCAATTTTGTATTGATTTGCAGGGGTCTCTTCCGTTGCTGAATGTCTTGTATTTATAGTAGCAGAACACCGAGCCCGAGTTCCAATTCTATTCGAACTAGGTTTCCTTCTCCGGATTAACATTACCTCGATCAGTCCTATCTCCGCTAGGACTACGAATCTAGTCCTTAACTGAGCCGGATTCACTTTCTAGTTTATTGATCTCGTCGAGAGTCCCTATTGTACTAGGACTCGACTTGCATTCTGATTTAACCGACCTAGGCTTGGAAGCCCATGAGCTGAACGCTCCATGACCCTTTCGCCGTACGGCTTCCCGGGCCGAGAGTGATTCTTCCCTCGGCCCAAACTGCTATTTTGGGCCCAAACATTGCCCCCTCGCTTCTGAGGTCCTCGGCCTGAAACCTTCGGCCGAGTTTCGGCCTTGAAGAAGCGAATCTACCACTCAGAATCCTAATACCTGAGTTCCAAGGCGCATTTATTGAACACGATCGCACGATCTTGATCCTGCTAAACCACTCGCCACGTGGCATCCTCTAACATGGCCAATCCCCAATAATGACGTCTGAAGCGTGCGCCTGCCCGAACCGTCTTGCCATTATGACCACTATCTCAATCCGCGAGCCACTACCTCAGTCCGTGAGCCCACTTGTCATGCAGGCGTCGAACCGTCTTTCGTCATTAATTTCGCCGTCACACGCGATCGTGCGCCTCCAACATCTGAAACCTTCGGTCTTCTCAACTGCATTTCCCAAATGTTCATCATGATCCACGATTCATTTGGTCTATTTTGCCCTTTGTTTTGAATTTCGAACGATTGCTCTTCCCCCCATAACTCTATAAATACTGAAATTCCCTCATTTGTACTTTACGCTCTCAAACTTCCTGAAATCCTCTGCCATTGCTTTCCAGTGCATTTCTCCATTCCAAGTCTTCGTCTTAAATCCCCAACCCAGAAAACCCTTTTACTCCGTGCTTCTTTCTTACAATGGCGTCCTTCATCTCCAAGCTTTCCAGGGAATGTGACCAGCACCAAAAGATTCTTGATCGGAGCTCGATCAAGACCATACGGTTTGAAAACGACATGAGCACTCAGTACCAAATCCTGGGTCCTCTCTTCAAGGCTACAATACCGCCGACTATCATCGGCCTTCTACAGGAGCACTGCCTAACACCCCTGCTTCAAGGGTTTGAATGGTCGCGATGGGATGCGGCGAAGCCCCAGGGCTCCTGGCCCTCGACGACCACAACCTGGGCAGCCTGGGTTGTTCGAATGGAACGACTCTTTGGCGAGCAGTGGA